TAAAAATGAGTTGGGACACTAACATATGTGGTATAGCCTAAGTGCTGTCTGCACCAAAGGATATTTACAATCTATTAATAATATCTAACTTAGAGTCAGCCACCGCAGAGTCTACATCACCTGGAGATGCCTCATGTAGAGGCTAAACACATGTCGTCAGTGGTGTGTCTTTCCTAGAGTAGTGGTGTTGGGAATAGTGGTGCTGGGATTAGTGGTGACGGGGATAGTGCGCGCAATTGAGGGAGGGCAGGAGGTGCTCTTCAAACTAGGTAAGACACATCATTTTATTTTATCGAGCGGATATACGCGAGGTAATTTTTTACCAACTTTAATTTACAATCAACTTCAACAAAGCAAGTTATTACTGCGTAGTCGCCGCAAGACACCTCACACCTATGATTGCACTGCCAAAGCTGATAATAAATAGGTAAGGTGTTACTCAGGCAGACTCCTAGGCTAAAGAGGACTACTATCCAGTATTTATTTAAATAATATAAAGAAAATAATAAACACAGAGGTTTTTATTATAAACAGTGAAAGTACAGGTATAATACTTAATACAATAATGTTATCCTCACGACTGAATTTCCCGGCTAGTCCCAAAGGAGGCTAGCCGTCCGCGAAGGACGGGATGTGCACGAGTGTGCGCGCAAGCGCAGGTGCACACTCTAATCCCTTACTCTCATAGTTTGATGAGACGGAAACCAACACGCCAGGAGAGGTTCACGCGCAAATCCAACAACTTATCTGTTGGTGCTATCATTAATTTCCAAATACAGAAGCATTAAACCGCTATTTTTTATCAGGCTGCTAGCCCAGTGCTCAGAGACTTAGTAAAAAACTTGATTTAATATTTATTCAACTATACTTTTCTAAAATGTACTTTATGAAAAAGATATAAAGTGTAAATTACTACTAACATGCATACCGTATAATGGGTATCCTATTATAAAGAGTATTAAGCCTTTTCTGCTTCGATGGATTTGAAACCATTTTTGGAAGTCATCATTTACAGGGTAGCCATATGTTAAGATATTTACAGACTTGTCTGATGTGATGTGAAAAGTAAAATTACCTGATGACATTATTTTGGTTTCAATTATACTGGCAATTCAACTATCGTCACCAAACTAAAAAAACTTCAAATGAATAGTAAAAGCCGACTACAAAGAACTGAGACATTTTTTGGCGACATTGAGATTGTGATATGCTTTAGTATATTCAAAAGGGTAAAAAGGATGTGTGGAGACACACGCGGTAAAAGTGAAACCTTCAGAAAAAGAGATCGAGATAATAATGAGAGATCGAGTCGAGGTAAGGATATTGTGGGCCTCTCTGTTGATTGAACTGTAGAAATGGCTTGTGTCGAGCTCGAGCACCTCATTGTTGTGTTTACAGAGCACCATGTGCTACTTACGAATATTTTGAAAAGATTGTGGAAGAAGATTTGCTCAAACTTAGTAAACAGAACAAGTCTGTTATAATATGTGGAGACTTTAACATCAATCTCCTTGAAACTTCTTCCATTAGTATTAAGTTTAGTTCATTATTTAAATCGTATAATCTTGTTAATTTATTCTTAGAACCGACACGTATTGCTGGGCCTAGTGCGATCTGTATAGATAACATTTTTACAGATGTTAAGCCCTAGCATAAATTAATCATTCAAAATTTAAGTTCAGATCACTGTGGATAGTTGGTCGTATTGTCTTACATACACAAAAACAAAAATGAGAAAGTTATGTTTGTTCCAATAAATGATCATCGTTTGAAGAGGTTTAGAAGTAACAAAGTAAAAGGCCTTCCATCACTTTCATTTAAAAATAGTGCTGATTATTTATATGATGCATTATTTAAAATTATAAAATTAAAAAAAATTAAAATTAAAAACAGTCGCAAATCATCTAACGAACGGGCGACAGTAGGAATTTATAAAAGTAGACGAAAGTTTATAATGAAAGATCATAAAATCATAGTGTTATATTTAGAGAATATGTAAAAACATTATTATTATATATTAGGCTTTACATTTAAGCAACAAAATTACAATTTGGTTTTACAAGGGGTCGCTCGACTACCGACTCCGGAGTCGAACTTATAAAACATATTTTTTGTGCATGGGAGAATTCATAGGATGCTTTGGTTTGGGTGTGTTTTGTGACCTTTCCAGGGCCTTCGACTGTGTTCACCATGATACATTAATCGGGAAGCTACAGTACTATGGTGTCAAGAACACAGCGCTTAGAATTATTATTTCATGTTTAAGTAATAGAATGCAGAAAGTTATTTTCAATGGTAAAAGTTCATCCGTGTCGTCCGTAAAGATGAGTGTCCCTCAGGGCTCGATTCTTGGCCCATTCCTATTTTTAGTGTATATTAATGACTTACCTTCCCTTGTAGGGGATAATCATGATATAGCATTATTTTCTGATGACACTTCCTTGATTTTTAAATTTAAATGTCTATCATTTAAATGTGACGACGTGAATAATGCTATATCAAAATTAGTGCACTGGTTTAACGTTAATAATCTGCAATTAAACGGCAATAAAACTAAATGTATTCAATTTACAACAATGAATGTTAAAAATCTGAATACCAATGTGTTTTTAAATGAGGAAGAACTGAGCCCTGTTGAATCATCTGTTTTTCTTCGCATCACTCTCGACACAAAGCATCAGTAGGCCCCCATATATCCAAACTAGCAAGCAGACTAAGCTCTGCAGCTCATGCTGTAAGAAAGATTTGAGATCTCACTAGTGTCGAGACAGCTAGATTAGTTTATTTTTGTTATTTCTATAGCATAATGTCTTATAGGATTTTGCTATGGGGAAATGCGGCTGATTTAGAAACTATTTTTGTTTTGCAGAAGAGGGTCATAAGAGCTATTTACAACCTCGAACCAAGGGGGTCTCTTAGAGAAAAATTTTAAGAAATAAATATATTAACTTTGACCTCTCAGTATATTTACGAAAATTTAATGTATGTTCATAGAAACAAAGATAGTTTTAGTAAAAAAAGTGATATACACTCTGTAAACACTAGGAACAAACACAAGCTAGTGTTACCAGTCTCTCGACTCCACAGAGTCAGTAATTCACTAATTCATTCTTGGGGCAATGTATACGCTATTACAACAAAGTCCTAGAAAATATACAAGGTATCTCTATAACAAAGTTTAAATATTTAATTTAAACAAAACTGTATAAAAAGCGTTATTATAATATAAATGAATACATGGTTGATAATAACCCTTGGAAACGAGGTGATCGCCTCCAAGCTGTTTCTAAAATAAATGTTGTAAATTGTAGATTGTAATCATTTATGTATATTGTAAAATTTATTTAAAAAAAAGTCCCGCTGGGTTTCTTGCTGGTTCTTCCCAGGACAGTGGATATTTTCGAACCAGTGGTAAAGTAAAAAGCTGTCTTTCAATACGAATTACTTGTATTCAATACTCAATAAAAAAATATTCTATTCTATTCTAATAGGAAACATTGTATTCTATCTCATTTTCTCGCAAGCGTTCTCCTATAAATTAATGTGTTTGTCTCTTTTTCGTTTCATCGAGTTTCAAATCACAACGATTGTAAAGAAGTTTTCACTTCAAAAATAACTTTTAATAAAAAATAAAAACCGATCTAAGAACTAAACAGAATAAAATAATTTCACATTACACACTTGGTTGTAGCACCGACATAAGAATGAAACTTGATTCCATGTTTTGCTCCACTTTTATCTCCAACTTTATATAGGAGAAAACTTCTGGAGTTATAATTATATAATTTATATAATAAAAATCGAATCGTTAAAATTGGTTTACAATTGACGGAGATATCGCATAACCAAATTTTAAACATCCTCCATTTTTTTTGAAGTCGACTTAAAAATAGACAATTAAAATTAAAATAATTATATATATAATAATTAAATTTACATTTAATCTAATTTGTATTTTTTTTAAATAAATAAATTTCACAATAATTAGTCCCCAAAATGAAGGTGAAAGAAACGCACTCGCACTTATTTTTTATCTAAAATTTTATGTAAGAATTTTTAAAATGTTGTTGTCCTACACAGAGTAATTTTAAAAAATAAAGCATGGCAACGCAATCAAAAGAAGAATAAAGTCTATTGGCGTTTTAATTATAATAATAAATGCGCGGACATCTTGATTTATTTAAAAATTATGCATGTTCCCCGCTAACGCGTACCGAATAAACTGGACTAACCAATGTTGAATAAATTTCGTTAGGTAACAAGGCATCATTCGATTTTTTCATTAGAATATAACGCACAAAATAACGATCAGTTGTTGTTTATAGGCTTATCTTTAACCTTGCTTAATTCTCCGGGAGACTATCGAAAAGCAGGAAGAAGAAAGATCTCAGGCACGTTACAATTTTTTTTGAAGTTATACTTCTTTTGGCGCATTTGAGAAAAATGATGATATATATATATATATATATAACGTGTGAAACGTGTTTTATTTTAGTTATTTTTGTTTTGTTACGATAAAGAAGTATAACTTCTTACGTGCGTACATAAGCACACACATACACACACACACACACACACACACGCGCGCGCGCGTTTTAGTTTTTAATTTTACGACCGTGTCTGAATATAATTGTCTCATTCATTAAATTATTAGACGTGGTGACAATAAAACAACGTAAGATATTTTTTTAAATCATACGTTTTTATGGTAGTACGGGTATATCGGTTATTAAGTTTCAACTCTTTGAGCTGAAAATTAACTAAAGCCTTTGAGTTAAGGCCAGTTATAAGGGTAGCCGTTTTTCGTCATTACAAACAACAGACCCAATTTTTATTTGATAAACATTCAAACCACTTACTAGGTGAGCCCTATGCTCATTTTTGGCTGCTCCTCTATAAAAAAAGCTTCAACAATAATGGCCGCATTAGGACAATGTGGTCCAATGCTGTTACTGTGTTGTGATTTGAAAGAAATTTAAAAGTGTAATATAAGTTCTTACCGATCGATAACAATGGAACGTCAACGCCTAAAGTCCACCAGATACCATGTCTTCGAGAATTTGTCTTGTATTGCAATAACTGCGATTCGATGTCTCGTTTCTGAAACAATTAGATTAAAAGAATATTATCATTCTATAAAGAAAACAGACGTTTTGTTAATTTCAGTTTTGGTATTTTTTACATTTTTAATTTAATCTATTTCCGCAAGGTAACGCCTGATTCTATTAATCATATTAACATTTCTCCCCGACCGGTCCACCGTTTGGCTTTGGCATAAACCTCGCAAAGTTGGAAGAACAATTATTGCGATGAGCAGAAAAATTGTGATAACTGAACATTTGGTGATGCACCTTTTTTTCGTAATATGTACAAAAAGGAGTGGAATAACTTGTCAGCGTCTGTCTTTCCGTCTCATTACATTCTGGTTGTATTTATTGCAAGAGTGAATAGGCTTTTGTTATGCAAAGGCAGCAGAAGCATTAGCACTTATTGATGGGATTGTTGTCAAACACTGGCTTATAAATAGTAAAACATAAAACTATGGTTAATTTATGTGTATATTATAGTTATATGTGTATAATATAATTTAGGTGTTAGTGATTTATGTAACATAATTTGAAATTATAAAGTAGACCTGTGCTTTGCTACGGAGACAGGGCAGGCATGGCAAACGCTCTGTCCTGGCGAAAATGTTCCACTGGAAGTTAACCAACAAAAACAGTGGGATATTTGGTTGGTAGAGAACGTGCAGAAATATTTGTTTCATAATTTCCATAGTGACCAAGATGCCTTATCTTCCACGGTAAGTAAAGTGCTTGTGGAATATTTAGAGACGATGGCAAGAGACCCGACGGTATGACATTGGTCCCTTGGGAGAGAGGTAAAGCCCTAGTGTGGGGTGCTACTTGCATAGACACTCTGGCGGTCTCTCATCTCAGGGGTACCTCGTTTAGAGCCGGGGTGGCATCAGAGGCAGCTGATAACTGAGTAAGTGGCGTAAATATGAGTCTCTGTGAGATGACTACATATTTGTGCCATTTGCTGTAGAGACTATCGATCCGTGGGGTCCACGTGTGGTGACGTTCTTAATGGAGCTCCATCCGCGGCTGGTCATTGCTGCTGGTGATAAGAGGGCTGGTTCTTGTCTCGCTCAAAGGCTATATATATAGTATAGCCATTCAGCGGGGAAACGCAGCCAGCGTTCTTGGCACGATACCGCGGGGAGTAGAACTGTACGATAATTAAGTTACTAGTTATAGTTTTTTTAATTATAATTATTAGTATTGTATATAATAAAGTTTGGAAATAGAAAAAAAATTAGGTGTATACATTTTCGACCATTTTCGACCCCCTATAACTTCGTTATGGATAAAACTATAAGACTGAATTTTCAGTAACCAAGCATGCATTGTATAAACACGGTATATTTCAAATTTCATTCAAATTGAACCAGTAATTTAAACAATCTAAATTAATATAATTATATAATATGTATTACTTGTGAGATACATTGTGTTTTCATGCAATGGTCAAGTCAATCTATGTATTTAAAACATAATAGATTTTTAATATTGATATGGTCACTATAAGATGTTGTTAGGTTAGCTAATTACGTAATAACTTGAGACAGAAGAACCCTTAAGTAGGGACTGAATAAATTAACCGACTTGGTATTACATGGATCTCACAATTTTTTACGGTAGAAGAACTGAGTTGCGAGACTCATTTCACGACACTCCTCAGATCACCATGATCAATTCACCTTGTGTCGTGACTACAAAATCAACCCCGAAATGTGATGAGGTTATAAATTCTTTATTGCCTCCACCACACAGCGAGTTAGTTCTTAATACATTTTAACACGACGTAACAACAAAACTTTTTAAACAGTGGTAGAGCCACGCGGCAGCTTTTGCTGTCGCATGGATGGGCCGGCTCGAACCGGGGTGGTACCACGACCTCACAGAATACCAGCGTGAAGTAGAGGTTTACCTCTGCGTTTCGCTTGGTGAGTGCAGGTGGCCGGAGGCCCTTTTTACTGGAAATGAGGCATTCCATCATAGTCCTCACGGGTGACAACGCATCTGCATTTTGATTCGCAAACGAGGATAGATGTAGATGTCTATGGGCCGCAGCAACTGTGTGCTCGTTTGTCACCCTTACCCTATAAAAAAAAACACGTAGAAGGAAACTTTATTTAACTATAAAGTTAAGTTTGCGAATATAAATTAAATGTACAATATTATTATAAATACGTGAAACGTGGCAGCTCAGGGACTAATAATTTACTGCAAATTTCACAGTACGCGAGCAACGCGCGTTTCATCACCATCAGCACTAACGAAATGTTAATTGCAATTTTAAGTGCTGATCTGTGCTGATTTACGGCTTGCTCGAATAATGAAAACATCTTGAGGAAACCTACATGTCTGAGAAATAAAAAAATCGTAGACATGTGAACTCCACCAACATACATTTGGGCAGCGCAGTGGACACTTCCTTGCCCTGAAACTCTCTCGAAAATAACAGGAGGTTCTGGAGACTAGAGGAGAAGTAAGTTCACATTAACTTTTATATTTTTATACAACGTTACGATGCTAAAATAATTTTGGAATTTGTACCTGTGACCTTAATTTACTTAACTATAAAGTGAAGTATGCGAATATAAATTACGTGTCAAACAGTAAAAAGTAAGGTATAGGCGATGCGATTGGTTGCGAGTCTTGCGAGCTTGTGTGAACCCCGTTAACACAGGAGTGCACATTCTGAGCATAAAAGGCGATAGATAGGAAACACGGAAATGGGCCTTGAAGTAATCTCATTGGATAGCAATTAACGAATGTCATAAACGTTATGCGGTAGTTGCAAAATAGCGCGAACATCCCCCCGGCCTTGAGGTATCCTATATACGTCCCGCTGCTGGGCACAGGCTTCCTCTCTTTTCTAAGAGGGTTTTAGGGCAAGGAAATGTCCGCCACGCTGCACCAACATCCACATCTATCCTCAATAAAAAATCAAAATGCATATACGTTGTCACCCGTGAGGACTAAGATGGAATGCCTGTTTTCCAGTAAAAAGGGTCGCCGGTTCTCTACACTCACCATACGAAACACAGCAGTGTTAAACTGCTATTTTACGCTGGTATTCTGTGAGAGCGTGATCCTTCCCCGGTCGAGCCGATCCATTCGTGCTGCAACTATACTATTAATATAGCTGCAGCATGGCTCTACCACGTGCTCGCGTACAGTGAAATTTACAGCGACTGAGCTGCCATGGCTCTCCTGAGGTACAGCTTTGTCAAATGGTTTTAAAATATTGAACCGAAAATTGTTGTACTTTTTTTAGTATTTGTGACACTGAAAGTTATTCGAAAGGTATATAAACAAATCCTGGCGTGGCACGTAAAACACAGTTATCATATCTAGGTTACAATACTAGGCGGTGCGACTACTTTTCTGCCTAGGATTGCGTCTAGGTACCTGTTTCTTTCGTCAAATAGCAGTGCTTGTACTGGAGCTGTGTTCCGTTTTTGAAGGATATAGAGAACCAATGTACTGCTCCGTGGCGTAGTTGCTTAGCAATGAGTTGCTGCGCTGGGGGCCGCGGGTTCGAATCCCGCACGGCACAAGTATTTGTATGGCCTCCTACAAATAATTGTTCCGGGTCTGGATGTTTGTCCTTGTGCAATTCGTGTTTGTAAACTGCCTAACGTTTTTAAAAAAAAATATATGTAATTCTTTAATATGTATTTCATTTGATTTCATTCCAGGCTGTGAGACATTCATCTTAACCCTCGTAAGTGACAACGCATCTATAGCTTTCTTTGTTAGAAGTTTGTTGCACGTGTCCATGGGCTGCGTAACCACTTACCATCAGGTGGTCTGTGAGTTTGTTTGTCATTTAAGTTTTATAAGGAAAAATAAAACCTACGCACACAAATTTTCCATATATTAAATGAAAGCATTTTGATCAAGTATATGGCTTGTATTTTAACCACAAACAATACTAGTCTTAGTTAAAAGAAAAGAGTGTATAAAACGTTAAACTGTACCTACTTCATTTAATTCGAAGCACAGTGACACGAGGTTTGTTAAATCTATCGATCCGACTCTTGCTTTCACGGTCACGCTAACCTTGCTTCGCCTGCCCTTCAACGCAACCTTTACCCACGAAACGTCTAAATCTTCAAGGACCGATGACCTTTTAGAATTAGGGTAACCATGCATTTTTTGATTCGTATTATCTTACTTTGTAAATAATTTATTTGTAGAAAGTGAGATTACATGTCTTAGTATATAAATATATAAAATTTCACACACCTAACCATTTTTCGAACATGCAAATGTTTATTAGATGATTGATGTATATTAGATGATATTAGATAATACATGTAACATTTAATCATGGATGAAATGTTTAAAAATTAAAAGTAGAGTTAATGCCTTTAAAAAAGAAACTTTTGTTTACCCTTACAATATACTGGTTTGGACAATTTAACAAATAATTAGCAATAGAAACAATTTTACACTCATTTCATATATGTATGATATTAGGGATCGAAAAGAAGAACGAAACAGGCTTTATTTACCAAATCTCGCTCGCAACAAGTTTATTATGTGCATGACCTACATTTTAATGTTCCAGGTCTGAACATTGCTTGTGCATGTACAATTGCCGTGTAGTGGCGGTCAATTGCCGTGTAGTGGCGGTCAAGAATATCCACTACCCCATATCCTCCCGTGGGTGTCGTAAAAGGCGACAAAGGGAAACAGGCAGGAGATGGGCAGCAGCATCTTCCTGATTATAGCCAAAATTACAATAAAAAAACTGCGGTTGCCAACCCGCTCGCCAAGCGTGGCAACTATGGCAAATACCCCCCTATGAATGTAACAAAGAGACGGCCCCCAGTCCGCGGCGGCCCCGCTATTCCTGGCTACGGTGGCGACCATGGTAACGGCGGGGCAGGGGGTGCTAAGAAACTCCGGTGGAGGTTCGGTTGCCACCTTAGACGACTCGACCTGGCAACGTACAACGCACGCACCCTGAGGACTGACGAGAAGATCGTGGAGCTGGAAGAAGAGATAGACAAGTTGCGCTGG